AACAACACACAGCAGCCTGTACATAAAGAGTGCTCAATAAATATTTATAGAATGAATGAATAAAAAGAGCTTAAACTCCTAATTGCTCTTCACTGGGATATAGTTAATTGTTTTTGAAAATATCTCCTGCTGGGAGTCAAATAATAAGAGAAGCAAAAGTAACCAAAGGACAGAGACAAAAGCCAACAAAGGGCACCCCCACCAACTCTACTAACAAAAATAAAAACTGGAGAGTCTTGGGGAATAGTTGAGTAGTTGAATTCTATGATGGTAAAGTGGTAGCACAGTGGTAAAGACTAGTAGATGCCCACCATAAAATCGAGTCTTCCTTTTCTTCTCAGTTACAGAACCCATTTTACTTAGGGTAACTATGCACCAGCCAAATGACTACATCTCCCAGCCTTCCAGCTAGGGATGGTCATACTGGTGACACTTTGACCAACTGATACAAGCAGAAGTTTTATATGGCTTCGAGGAGTCTCCTTGAGGGAAAGGGATCCTGTATCTGTATTGGGCTGCCTGGAGCCATCTTGAGCCAGGAGGATGAGGGCCACATACAGGAATGGTGCAGACAAGAGCTAGAAGGACTATAGGGCCCACCATACCAAGCCTAAAGTGTTCAACTCTGGATTTCTTTCATGTGTAGAAGAAAAACATTTGAGCAATCTTTGAAACCATCTCAAACTAATCCTAAGTGATAAAATTACTGTTAACTAAGGAGGTTTAGGGGAACTTTAAAAACACTAAAGGTAACAATCTCCCCAGATACAGCTTTCCTAATCCAAATGTGAGTGCACTGATCAGAACACATAATTGCTATCACTTATCAAGCACTCACTATGTGCCAAGCACTTTATATATTTATTATCTCATTTAATCCTCACAACATTCCTACAAGGTAGATTATCAATATTATCTTCCTCAGAATATAGATGATATTAATAGAGGTTCACAGAGTTCAATTGCTTGCATAAAGTCCAAAGGCTGGTAACAGTTGGACCTGTGGATCCAAGTCATCAGATGCCAAAGCCCACGTTCTTTCTACCAATCATGTTGAATCTACAAGAAAAATCAAAACAAATGTATCCTGAGCAGATACCTAGGTTCTAAAATTAGGTAGCCTTTAGCCAACAGTTACAGCATCGCTGACAAGGCTAGCCTTTTTTCCTTTCAACAAAGTTTTCTGTTTCTTTTTTTTCTCATTTTCAAAGTAAAAGGCACTTAACAGACAATAAATACTAGTTCCCTAATAAATATAATGGCCCTTTTAATTTTACATTTTGAAAAAGGTTTCAAATTATGTCACTATTTTAATTTCTCATGTTATAAAGTTACATAGAAAAGAATCAACAATAAATTATTTTTATATTCCACTCATATAAACAGAAAATATACATGGTGCCTTGAAGATATTTTCCTTGCTTTGAAAAGATGTCTGAGTTTATACAGCATTTATCTAGCATTTTCTCTTTCCAATTGAGAAGAATGGTTGTGGGAACCCCTTCTCAGTCCTGGGAAAACCTGGACTGTGGGTTGATCACTCTATGCCTCAGGTTACCATATAAATGCATAGTTTTCTCTTCAACAAAATTTATAAAAGTGTGGGCAGTTTATACTAAGTTGAAGATGAAACATTATTATAAAGCATGACTTTCAGGTATTTAGGCAGCTAAACAAAAAGAAATTATAAAGCTCTACATGATCATGCTTAACCAAGGCATGTTGCTGAGAATATCAAAGTTTCTTAGATCAAACTCTTCATTCTGATGATATTCAGAATGTGCACCAGTATTAACATTCACCTAGTTAAAAAATAGGCTCCAAACAGCACATGTACATTTATATACAATGGAAATTTAGTCTATATATAAAACTGAGACACTGTGTGAGGAAAAGCCTAATTTTGATGTTTCTGTTTTGAGGCTAAACTCTTGTGAGGGTACAAACAATAAATTTGTGAGTTAAAGAGGTTGTACTGGGTACCTACCCTATCCTTCCACCTAGAGAAGTCATCATTTGCTTGACCCTTTCAATTTATAGGTAAAGCAAGTCAGGCCAGAGAGTTATGTGATGCTCCAAGATTCTAGCTCTGGCTGGTGATGGAGCCTGGACTATCCATCAGCCATGCTCTTAGCTTATTTACGCTTAATTATTTATGCTTAATTATTAAAGCTTAATTATGCTTTACAAACCCTGAAAACCAAAAGCCCATAGTGTCAGCATGGGATAAATGACACATTTCACCTCATGTGGCCTCAAGTTTAAAAAAAGGAATTTGAGTACAGAAGTTCTTTAAGCTTCCATTAGTAACTTTAACCATACAATAGCACAACATTCTGAGGGGAAAAAACATATGTGTGTGTGTGTGTATGTTTAGAACATATAATGAGCTTGGTTTAGAGAGCTTTCAGGAAAGCTTTCAGGAAAGCTCTCTAAACAAACCTAAGAGAATAAGAATGAACACAGTAACTTGAAAAGGGAACAAACATCTTTGTAGTTTGAAGGACTTTCAAAACATAGAAAAACAACTTTCAAAACAAATTATTGCTGTCCTCCAATTCTCCTAGCATCAGTGCCTTACAAGCAAAACAAATATATGACCAATCTAAGGAATACTAGTAACAATGAGAAAGCTTGGTGTTTCTTTATTCTGATAACTTTAGTCTTACAACTGAGAGATTACAAAATCATGCAGGCATTCATTGTTCGATCAACATGTCCCTTAATCTGGGAAGGCCCCCCAGTTAGATAAACACAAAAATCTGCTGTTTAGGCAAAGACGGATTGATTATTCTAGGTAGCAGGCATAAACTGAGTTGTTTTTCAATGACGATTTTGAATTATGCCCATCTATCTGTATGCCAGCCCTGTGCTTCCACAGCCAACAGTACTGACTGTTCACAACCTGTTATTCAGGTGTAGGGGTGCAATCTACGAATGTGTTGCTGACCAAAGCTTGCTGACCCACATCCCTCTACTTTGGCTTCATTGGTACCCTTGTATAACAAGAGTTAGCTCTGCGTGTGTATTTATTTTCTGCTGAAGGCCAGGGCTGCTGAGCTAAGGGACCTTGGCCAAATTGCTAAAGTCTCTGAGGCTCTCAGTCCCCTGTGTTCCTCATCCATGGAATGGTATTAATAATCTCACATATTTTATGTCTATAAAATCAAACTAGAAATAAATAAATTTTTGAAAACCTGAAAGATCTTTGTAAATGATAAAGCTATAATACATTATTTAACCAGCTGAGTTGCCAGAAGACTATATCTCTGACATAATACTGCCCCTAGAGATATATCAGTTCACAGGTAATCTAATATTTAAATACACCATAAATGGTTATTAAATTCAAAAAACAAGTCTAGCAAGGCACTATTAATTACAGATAGGTAGAATTCTTCAGTATTATAGGTGTTAAAATGAAATATTACTTGACCCTTATGCTGGAAATTACATGAGTGATTTTTTTAATGTCAGTTTTATTCATGTCCTCACACGCCTTTAGGATAAAAGGCTTTTTTAATGATTAATTATATGCACAGTTCACTTCCCTAATAATACTTCAGTGAAAACACTTTTTACTTGTATGCATTTCAATCTAAAATGCCCAGATCAACACAGCCCTCCTGTATAGCCATATTCTTATTTACACAGAGTAGAAAGGAATGGAAAATCCCACTATATCCACAGCTATCCACCACTACAAAGAAAATGCAGACTTAAACAGAAAAATCAAAGGCAAATATTACTTTTCCAAACACAGACTAAATATTCATAAAAATCCCCTCAGTTTTCCAAACTCACAAATACCCAAAGTAACACAATACTTCTTTCAAACACACACAAGAGTGACTATCAATTAAAGCCTAACCAAAACCCTATGATGGAATGCATATGTTAAAATGTTCTTCTAATGGTTATAACTGGACTAATTTAACAATTAGAATTTTGCTATGCAGCATCTGTACAATATAATTTGGAATTGTGTGTGAAAATAAGGATTTGAGAAATACACTAAATATTTTCATCTCTTGGAGACTCACCATAATCCTCGCAGCAGGAAAGCCTGCAAACGTTAACAAAATAAAATCTTTGAAAATCCTGACCATATTTTCAGTTGACTTAAACAGTTTTTACCTTTCAGTCTTTCTCTTAAATTCTTATTTTAAATAAGTACACGTGCCCTAAATTTCTTCTTTAACAGACCTAATATTTTCTTGCAACAGACGCAGACTATTGTGGGATATAGGCAATCTTTCTTTAAAGATTACATAACTTCTTTCTAAACAGATGTCAATGTCTGCAGCTAACTCATAACCAATGCAACTGAAAATAGAAATGGAACTGTTAGACTTCCATTTGTTAATAAAGATAGAAATTATTTCTTAATTTGAAGAGAACTGTATCTCAGGAATGACTTTCTAAATAAATTAATCAGAATTATCAAACAGCAAACACTTTCTGCCAAGCCAAAGCCAACCAGGTGAGTCATGTTATAACAAATATAGAATAACCTACAGTAAAAGCAAAGACAAGAACTAAATGACTTTGTAAAAGGCTGTTAATTTCTCATTCCCTTAATATTTTTCAGGTTCCACTGAGGTATAATGCATCAGAACTTGGAGCCTGTGGAAGTATATTTACCTCAACTACCAGGACCATACCGAGTTCTAGTTTTATCCAGAAAAAAAAAAAACTATCAGAATACGTGTTCTGAAAAGCCTGCAATAATACCCAATTTAAGAGGCAAACAACCACAGAACATAACACTCAAGAAAGCACCACCTTCTACCACCCCTCTCCACCTTGCCCCCCCCCTTTTTTTTGCTCTTCCTTTCCATTCTGGGGTTAAATAAGCACACTTATTTCAAAATAAAAGGGGAGAAACCTGTTGGAATGAATTTTTAGAAGATCAATACTACACATGAAGCAGAACTAAGTTGCTCTGAGGAAGTTGTCAATCCATTCATTTACATACAACTGAAAGAACATACACCCACATGTATTCCTATCAGTGAAGATGCAACCCGGTAATTTGCAGGGAAGATGGGATCTCAAATCCCAGAGGCAGCTACTCTCCCAAAAAAAGGAAAAAAAAAATACTGTGGCTCTTCACCCAGGCAGCTTCAGAGATGCAGGCTCTGCAACTCGCCAGGTGCGGAAATTCAGATGAAGCCCTGTCTGTCACTCACAAGTGCAGCATCTCCAGCGTAGTAAGCAGGGCTTGGGGACCCACTCGCAGCCCGCTCTACTTCGCCGAAGAGACCGAACAGCTCCCGGCCGGGGTGTGCGGACTACTCAGCCGGCAGACTGAGGAGGAGGCAGCAGACGCGAAAGAGGACAGCGAGCGGAGGAAACCGCCTCTCGCACGGTACCGGAGCGAGCGCAGAGCTCCAGGGAACTAGGGCTCCGGCCGCGGGCGCGCGGCGGAGGGGCGGAGCAAGGGCGCGGGGACGCGGGGACGCGGGCTCACCTCGCGCGAGGGGCGACCGGACGCGCGCGCCGCCGCCGCCGCCACCGCCACCGCCGCCGCTGTTCCTGGGCTTCCGGCCACAGAGCCCCCGAGCACAGTGCCTCTGCGCAGCGGGAGGGGCTGGGGCGGCTGACGCCCAGGTTTCTCCGCCCCCGGCCCCGCCGCGCCGGCTCCGCCGGGGGCGCCAGCAGCTGCAGGCAGCGCCTCAGCGCCCGCCGCCTAGCCATGCTTGTGGATGGCCGTCGCCGGGTCACTCGCTGATTGTGACCTTCGAATCTGGCATCCCGGCCAGCGGCAGCACCGCGCAGGCCGCCCCGCCGGCCTTTACCAAGATGGCCGCCCCCGCGGGCCGGGGCGCCGAAGCCATCTTAGTGAAGGGGGCGCCGCAGCGGCACACGGCACTCTCCGGCCCTCCCCGAGCCTCACACGCGCACTACGGCGGGGGCACTGCTGAGACCTATTTTGGCTCTCCTGTCCTAAACCAGGGGCTGACTTTTAGTTCGCATGAACCCATTCCCAGACACCAGCCACAACTTCTAAAACTAAGTGGGATCCTGTTGGCCGGGTATTAGACTCTCATAGCCAGATCAGTCTTAGTCCCGAAGCATGCACTTACAGCCTGTGGCGCTAAAAGCCTGGTAGCAAGAAACTAAACTGTAATTTGAAGTTTGTACGGAAGGTATTAAATATGAATGGAAATACTGCCTCGTCACTGTGTGTTCCTTTACTTTTAAAACGATGTCACAGCTTCCTGGTACACACAGTTCTTGTGTAAATCTGCATCTGTTACGTCGGGAGCCCAGAGAGAGACACAGGAAGCCTCATGGGTAGCAAAATGCCGTTTATTTTGGGCATCTAGGTGCAGATGGGTGGAGGCCAAAGAGCAGCCACCCTTAGGGCGTGGAAAGCCTTGGGTTTGGGGGGGAGTGAATACCTAGGCCAGAATAGCCGCTGCAATAAAATTTTTTTAAAACAACCAATTTCTGGGACCCCTGGGTCAATCTCATCCTGTAGAGATAAGGGAGGAGGGTAGTTCCATCCTTACCAGGGGGGATAGGAATGCCAACTGCAGCTGTCTGTTAGGTTTACAACCTCCTGGACTCTCCAGACTCCTGTGGCTATTGTTTCACAGACCTCCTAGGTTTTTCCATTAACCATCCATGTCCCATACATACTTTTCGAGTTCCCACCTGGAACAAACCTAACAGCACCCTTTTTTTAATCCAAGGATAGTGACAAAAGAGCATAAAATTGTGATTCTGAGTTTCTTACTGGGTTTGCTTTTTAAACTGCAGCATGATATTAGTTATTTCAAGAAGTGACTTACAGACAGCTCAAAATCGAATTCAACAACGAGTGGTTGGGCAAAATGATTTCTCAATAAAAGTCTTACTAGGGTGTGTCTATGGGTGTGAAAGAAATAGCCTCTCTCTGGGATTATGTTGGCAAAAAAGAAAGGGAAGAAAGAAACACAGGCCCTAAAGGGACATAAGACTGCTATAAAGGAGCAAACCAAACAAGTGAATGTGCTCGTGTAATATTTTAGGAATGTGTTCAAGTGTGGACTTTATCTCCTCAGGCTAGCTTGCAGTTTTGACTTAAGCATGATTAAGTCACACCTGGGCTGAGGTGTACCTGGGTGAGGCTGAGCTTGCATAAGCTGAATACTTGGTGTACAATGGCAAAAAAAAAAAGGTAGCAGCACACATACAGACCCAAAGGTAAATCGAAGTCACTGCTCAGTTCTTTATAGAGTTCTTGGCTAAGGTACTTTAAAAAGATGCCCTCGTTCACGCCTGTAATCCTAGCACTCTGGGAGGCTGAGGCAGGAGCATCACTCAAGGTCAGGAGTTCAAAACCAGCCTGAGCAAGAGGAAGACCCCATCTCTACTAAAAAAATAGAAAGAAATTAATTGGCCAACTAAAAATATATAGAAAAAATTAGGCAGGCACGGCGGTGCATGCCTGTAGTCCCAGCTACTCAGGAGGCTGAGGCAGAAGGATTGCTTGAGCCCAGGAGTTTGAGGTTGCTGTGAGCTAGTCTGATGCCACAGAACAACAGAGCGATACTCTGTCTCAAAAAAATAAATAAATAAATAAAAAGATGCCATTTGTTACCCTCACTCCCATTCTTTATTATGAATAGATTTCAAGTGTAGAGAAAATAGATATGCCTTTTTGTAATACCATGTTAATAAGTTGCAGGCATCAAAATACTTTACCCCTAAATAGTTCAGCCTGTCTCCCCTAAGAATAAGGACATTTGCTCCATAATCACAATATCACTGACCAGGCATGGTGGCTCACACCTGTAGTCCTAGCACTCTGTGAGGCCGAGGCAGGAGGATTACTTGAGCTCAGGAGTTCCGATACCAGCCTGAGCAAGAGTGGGACCCACCTCCCCACCGCACCCCCTACTGTCTACTAAAAATAGAAAAAAAAAATAGCTGGGTCTGGTGGTATGTGCCTGTAGTCCCAGCTACTCAGGAGGGAGGCTGAGGCAAGAGGATGGCTTGAGCCCAGGAGTTTTAGGTTGCTGTGAGATAGGCTGTTGCCATGGAACTCTAGCCCAGGCAACAGAGCAAGACTCTGTCTCCAAAAAAAAAAAAAAATCACTATCACAACTAAGAAAACAACAATGATCCCCCAATATCATATAATATAGCCCATATTCCAGTTTCTATGATTGTACCCAGAATGTCTTTTATAGCTGTTTTTTTCTGAAGTAGGATACTATCTAGGCTTATGTATTGCATTTGTGTATTATACTTAAGAAGCAATTTAAAATATTCACTTGCTGTTTTCTATGATATTATATGGATATTATGAAGAGACAATGTTCACAGGGTGTTTTTCATTGAGAGCAGATGCTTTAGATAAGCATATCTCTATACACCAGGAAAGCCTAGAAGGAATGTCTTTTAACACAACATTGACATTATAATTGAAGCTGTATTATTAATAATTAAATAGTAATGTTTATGCTTTCTCAACTCCTGGAATACTACATAAACTTTATGGATTGTGTTGGAATCTCTGCTCAACATGACTTCTTAAGCATAATTGGTTGGGGTTTTTTTCCAGACAACAAAAAGGAACTGTTTAGTATAATAATTTATACCATGCTAGGCAAAATCTCTAGCTTGTCTTGCTTCGTATTACAGAACAAAATGAACATTGCACCCTCAGCATCTTACTCATGGTTTAAATCTAGATCCTGACCTGCTGAACTAGGCTTTATTTGTGTTAGGGGGTGAGCCAGTACACTCAGGTTTTTAGAAAAGATTTTTCCAGACAAAGATTAGAATAGAAGGAAGAAGTTTATTTACTTTTCCCAAGGTGGAAAAAGAACCAAGTGAAGGAGGTAGAGAACATAGGGAGAGGGGAACCAGGTATTCAGACTTTTTATTTAGGGGGTGAAGAAGCTTTATGGCTGTAGCCAAATTAACCAGGGTACTGCTATATCAGTTCCATTCTTTCTTCTTGGGGGTAGCTGATAACAGAAACTGAAACTGGGGCAAGATGTGAAAGTTCAAGAGTTGGCTTTCCCGCCTTTCCTCAGAGACAGGATTAGAAGGATTCTCACAGTCAGTCACTGTGGGAGACTGACTCCAGTCAGTCACATCTGGAGATGTGACTCTGCTCTTGCGATGTGGCTGAGGCTTGAAGTTTGCACACTGCTGTTCACTCAGGAACTCTTCAGACTGTAAAAAAGCAGATTCTCAAAGGCAATTTCAAAAGAGAAAGATTTATGTCTCCTTTCTGTCTGTTCAGTTCTTTTAAGAAGTTGTGCAAAACAGAACTCCTGCAGGGTGCCTGTCAGTGATAGAACTCATAGGATTGATCTTTATCTTACTACGAAATTGTGAAATTGCGGGATTAGGTATTTTCCTGTTCATTTTGCAAGGCCTCCCCTTTCAATTTGTCCTTCCCTTTTATGCCAGCCCTAGGAAAGCAGGCATTCAGCACATAATGATAACTATTCGTCTTCCAAGTTGTTACTTAATATTTAAATATTAATTAATCTTGTAAAGAAGGACAAATTTACATGATTCTCTAAAAGTCGCTAGTGGTCAATGTAACTTTTTTTATGGAGACTACTACTATATTAAATAAGATTATTTTAATTATTTTAACACTTCACAAAATATTAGGTGCTATTTAAATTACTTCTAGGGAACTACATTTAAAACAATTTCAGCATAGAGCTCTACCCTTTTAATTGAGTTCTATAATCAGTGCTGTCCTTCTAGCTCTAGTTTTTTTTGTTTTTTTTTTTTTAGGGGGGAGGTCTTTAAAAAAGTAATCAAAGGCTCTAGTCTTAAAAGTCACAGAGGGCTAAAGAATTCATTACTAGAGGATTTTAATTCAATCTGTATTTATAGTAGCATCTATGGAATTCAGTTATGAAAACAAGTAATTCAAAATCTAAGCTGTTGGAACTCTAAATTATTTTGAGCCTTAAAGGAATGTGATTATGGGGCCTGAGTCAGATGTCAGGCAGCTGTAACCTAGGCAACTGTAAACTTTACTTCCCTGATTATAATGTGGCCTCCTTCTTACCTGCACTGTTTTCTAAAATATTGTAAATGACTGAAGGGTATCTTCATTGCAGATTAACTCCCCTTTACCTTTCTCACACAAAGACTTCATAGCTATCATATTGTCTGACGGTGTAATATTAAGTACACTCTTTCAAATTGTAAAGGAAATGAAAATCAGCTATAAAGAAAACAAACTAATTAATTTATTGTAATTCTTAAACCAGCCTTGTATAGAAAATGTAATCTTGTTAAATTTCTTCATCTTCTTCCTATATAAGCAAGACTTTAACTTGTAACTTTGTAGCACTGACCCCATTTCTCTGGAGTCTGTGTGTCTTGGAACAGCCATTCCCAGCTTTTCGCTTGAGTAAACTCTTTAAAACTGGATCATGAGCCTTTGGATTATTTTAGG